CAGAAAAACATGGCATGTCAGCACAGCTTGCTCAGGATGAAATGGCAACTCACCAAGTCAGTTTAAAGATAAAGAATAAGTTAAGAATACCTGGAGATAATTTTATAACTAGCAAGACAAAAAAGCAGGTGGTTCCCTAAGTTGTGGAAAGGGAACTGACATGTTGCTAGAGGTTACTGAGAACCCTGACTCCTGGGTGAGAAACTATATGTGGGGATCCAGCGCAGCGGGAGAAAGGGCAAAGGACAGGAACAGGTTCCTGTAAAGGAAACAGGGAGAAGATGGGGTTGTTGGGTTGTCTGGAACTTTTTACTGAATAAAATAACACCATTTTGAGAGATTCTTGGCTGAGGTCACTGTCTGAACACTGCTTAGAGTGGATGCCTATGGCAGCAGTCTAGAGGCATGGGCTGCCAAAACATGTTAAAAAGATAAAATACATGTTTGGAAATATTTGAAATCAGCTATTAATTTCTGAGGGCAGACAGCTGGAGGAAAAATAATTGAATGCAAATATATTAAGATTACAAGGGGGAAGCAGGTGGCCTATGTATTAATGTGAAGTCCTGGCCATTCAGTGAGTCTTGCTAGTTGACCTTCCTATCAACTCAGATTTGCTACACAGCTTATACTGACAATTAAATCCTTACTCTGATTCAAAATGCACTAAAATGGTGTCCAGGCCTTGGGTCTCAACCATAAATTTAAAATAATTTATATGTGAAGACCGAGATAGCAGCTAAGCATCACTGCCAGATCTGGAGCTAATTACCCAAAGACATACAACAAACTTGTTTCCCTGTGGTCAGACCTGCAACCCTGATCCTTCTCATGCTACTTCAGCCCACAAGAAGAATAGGAGAAGAAGTGAGCCTTGCTGTGTAACTCAAACTCTGTTTGAACTGTGTGTGTGTACTCCAGAAAAGCAACACAACAGACCTGCAGGCTGAAGTCCTGGCTTCAGTCTCCTGCACATTGGGCAGGGTCTATTTGAAGCAGTGGCTGGAGAAAGGTACTTTCTGAACCCTCATCAGAATCAGCATCTTAAATGCCACTGGCTATTTTTTTCTGTGTGTAGTACAGAAAGGAACATTGCTTCCTCAGGGAAGTGATCATACAGACACCGTACAGGGGTGCTACTCTTCAAGCTCATTGACACTTCTAGACCAAAGTAACATTTGTGGTCAAGAACAAGGCTACTGATCACCGCAAGATCCATATCCAAAAGTTGCAATCTCACAGCTGAAAAAAGGCTCTCCTAACAAGTGCTGGTATGTCATCATCCTGTAACAGCCAGGATCTCATAAGATCATAAAGTGGCAAACTAACAATAAATGTCCCCACAAAACTTCAATAAAAGCAGCAGATATCACTCTCTCTTTATCACTCCTGATGGAGCTGCTCCAATTTTTATACATATTTAAATATTCATTTGACAAGAGAGAAAGACTGACAGTTGCTTGGAACTGAAGACACTCACAAGGGATCTCTCAGACCCAGATTCAAACTCTCACAGAATAATACAAAGTAGATCTCTAGGGTTTGCATCAGGATGTTTTTTCTCTGTTCCAGAACACTTCTGAAGAAGAATAGAGAGAACGGAGACTTGCCTTGGGACACTGCATAGTCCAGTTACAGAGCATTCACCTGGGAAGTAAAGGAGATGCTCTTACCCTAAATGAGTGCTTTAACTGTTCCAGCAAAGTTCCCTCAGGCTTTCCCAATGCCTTCCTCTCTCCTTGGGAAAAAAAGGAAGTCCCCTGGCCCAGGGAGAATCCCTACCATCAAAGCCCAATTCTATGAAACATTTTGAAAGACCAGAGTTTTCCAGTATTCCACTGGAAAGTTCCCAACCAGCTCTATTGAATGCTGGCTGAAATTGCTTGTAGTTTAATTCAAGCAAAGCAAGAGAGAGTTCAGATCCTCAGGACTGCACGTAGCATCTTCAGAGTGCAACAGATGAGTAAAGGCAGCAGCTTGTTTTGTTATTTAAGTGAAGTGCAGTGTTACAAAGCAATTAATTTTCACTGAAACTCTGTTGGCAATGTATCTGTGACAGACATTTTTCAAAAGGACTTTTCTGACCTCTCCATCAGTACCAGAGGTAGCTGAAGGTTTTGAATTGACTAATAGATCCTGTGTTAATAGGCTTCCCTGGTTAATTCTTTTGCTCTACTTTAGGATGGAGAAAGGAAGAGTGGCTTGGCTTGCTCTAGTCCCCAAGCTATACTAGTTAAACTAACAGCCCAACATTGCACGTGAGTACTTTATCTAGGCTTATATAAGTTTGTCTTGCCCTTGTAAGTGTAAATTAGTTTCCATTTTTAAAACTAATTCAATTTAACCCTACAAGCACACACCAATTTAATTTAGATGGATGCCACTTTTCTGTTTAGGAATGGGAATTCACTGGATTAAGCACTGAAGATGTTTGATACAGACAGGAAACAAGATGAAAATTGAAAAGCAGAAAAAGACAAACAAACTAGGAAGAGAGAGAAGGGATAACAAGAAAATAGATGAAAAGCTGTTGTAAGACACCTGGAAGAGAAATCTCTTGAGTGCAGCACTGCTGGGCACTTACAAACAGGAAAATGTGGCTATAGGGAGGGACTATTACAGAATTTAGAAGCAGAGCAACATACATACAGGGATCTGAGTTACTGAAAACCTGGCTAATAAATCCAAGATTTTGATAGGGAATGAAAAAAAAAACCAACCATAGAAAATCAGTCTGGAGGCCATTCCTATGGGCATTAAGCATGTACGAGTAATCTGAAGTCCTGTTTCAGGAAGGACCTGACTATGCATTTGAATTACCTAGGTGCTTCACAGCCTGCATCAAATTCTACTTTTTTCTTCTTGGTTTCCTCAGTGACTCACACTTCTTTATCTGTGTCAGCACAATGTCCTCACAAGCTTAGCAATGGACTCTACTAGGAGCTAAAAAGTCCTCCAAAGCCCTGAAATACTTTTTTTTGGTGTTGCCTTGTGACTTTATTTCCAAAGCTGCATGTTTCTATAGTAAACTGCTTTCAGTTTTCATGCCCATGAACAGAGAGGTCCACTGTCCTCCATCAGCAAGCCTAGCATGCTTCTGCACCTGTGCTGGTTTAGGTGAAGAACATAGCAGTAACTGCTCAAGAGGTGTAGGTCAGAGATTGGGAATTGACCATATAAAAGATTTGGAGGCTTAATCTGAGACAAAAAGGCATATTAACTTGAGTGTTGAGTTTTTAGTTTAGAAGAGCAACTTTCATAACACTCACACAGGCTCAACAGAGAAGTCAAGAAAATCATACTAAAATTATGTAACAAACAAATTGCTAAAAAGCTCAGGTAAGTCTTGTTGCTTTTTTAAAGGTGACAATGCTGAAGGGGAAGCTTGGCTGTTGAACAGGATAAAATATTTTCTCACATTAAGAACTGTATTCTAAGTATGTTATATTCAGATCTTTTAAATTACTTTTTTTTTAAAGTAGAAGAACAGAAAGCACACAAAGAATTCATTTCTAAGTTTCTCATCGTCTAAAATAATCAGTAGCCCTTTTTTTTGGCAAACATCATCTTAAAGAAACCAACAGTGTTAGCCAGAGACAACACTGCAGAAACACCACACTGATTTCTTACAGACTACCATAAACTCAGAGGAAGGTGGATCAGGCTCCATGTTTCTATTTACGTGGAATTCAGGCTCTTGAGCTACAGAGATTTTTTGGCCATCTCCCTGCAGGGTTGGGATCCCAGGGCTGCTTGCCTTGCCCAGACCTCTCTCTGTCTAAGTCAGGAGCTGGCAGACTTATTGTGGCCTCCGTGGCACACTGAGCTGTATATTTGGGTCACGTATGTCTCCATTCCCTTCTCATCCGACCCCCTGTCTAGCGACAAAATAAAATGTATTGAAGTAACATAAAGGCAAAATTGATCACAGCATGGCGTTTCTACAGTATTACCTTTATCACCAGGACAGATGAAAATGGTTCTTATGCAAACTGAATTGAAACCGACTTGAGGGACTCAGAGAAACTTAACAGATCCCCAAACCCTGGAAATTAACTGAATTTTAATTCTATCAGGAAGCTCAGAAATGTAGGTGCTTTATTAATTAGACTTTTTTTAATTGGGACAAATATAGTCTAAACTCATGTCTAGCCCTATGGTGCTTCTTTAAAGATTAAAAAGCAATAAGATAATAAAGAATGCAAATTTTCAGACAGCTCCTCACAGGGAGATGCTGTTTGAAGTAACAGTTCTCTCTCCCCCTCTACTGCATCTGTGTTGCTTTTTAATTATTAGCAAGGAAAATAAGAGGTTCAACAGATGTGGATGCAAGTTCATTTCCACTGTCTGTTGACTACTGTAACTTTCATGCCAACACTGGGTTTGAGAACATGGAGAAATTTACACTAATGATGATTAAGTGTATTGCTTCTAATTCTGAATATTAAATAGAGCATAGGGATAGTATGGATGGTGCTTTTGGATCTCAGTCATGACAACTGTCACAAAATACCCGCTTAAAAACTGATGTTCAGTCCCCAGCTTTCATATACACATCCCAGTGACCTCAGACAAGTACATGTGATTTACAACCACTCAGACGTAGATTTTTTTTCCATTTTTCCAGAAGGCTACAATAGCACCTCAGTTTGAACATAAAGCAGAACAACTGCAAGTCAGGGTGTAAGATCCCTGTTACATGCACAGAGAGATGGAAGAAGGTGTAAATGGAACTTAGTTACTCTGTCACTGCCTGACATGCCCCAGAGGTGGAAGGAGCAGTGTATGGGGCTGCCTTTAGATAGGAGAGAAGATAATAAACAACATGTCAATATCGAACTGAAGCTTAGAGCTAACGAGTCATTTCCACCTTTTCTGTTACATGTGAGATGAGAAACTGTTACATACCTTACTATTCAGCAGATTATGGTCAACCAAGAGAGGATGACAAAGAGAGGGACATATACAGATAGATGTGTACCTGCTGTCAATCCACTTACTTTGGATTTCCGGCCCCTGGCTTCTTTCTCCGGAATATGTTGAGGAAAGTGTTGGACTTGCAAGGTGCCTTGCCATCCCCGACATGCATACGCACCACATCTGAGGTGGTGAAGGCACTGCGGACGTTCCTCTCAGGCTTGGCTATAATGATGTACATCTTAGGAGTGAACATGCACCCCAGTGCCACTGTCACGCTCAGGCTCACTGCAAAGCAGGTGGTGATGATCTTGTAGTTGCTCCCGAAATAGATAGGCACAAAGGCCAGCCAGATGATACAAGTGGTGTACATGGTGAATGCAATGTACTTGGCCTCATTGAAATTGGCAGGCACATTGCGAGTCTTGAAGGCATAGTATGTGCAGCTCATGATGAGGAGTCCGTTGTAGCCCACAGGAGCCACGACGCCAAGGTTGCTGGTGTTGCAGATAAGATAAACTTCCTTAATGCTGGGATAGGAGAGGATGGGCATGGGGGGCTCCAGGATGATCAGCGTGATCACCAGTGTCAGCTGCACACTGATCAGAATGGAGGCGATGACCACTTGGGCCCAGGCGCTCATGAAACGTGGCTTGCGGGTACAGATCTTCTTTTTGCTGCCTGCCAGGATGCGAGCGATGCGGTTGGTCTTCGTCACAAGGGCAGAATAGCACATAGCAGAGGACAGGCCCACCAGAAGGCGCTGGAGGTAGCAGGATGTCGTGGTGGGTTTAGCTATAAGGGTGAAAGGGCAGACATAACCCAGAAAAATGCCAGCAAGGATAATATAGCAGAGCTCGCGGCTGGATGATTTAACAACAGGGGTGTCTCTGTAGAGCACAAAGATAAGGGTGACAAACATGGTGACCAGGATCCCCAGGCAAGAAAAGACCACAGCCACTATAGACTCTATATTGCTCCACTGGAGGTACTTTACAGTGATGGGTTCACAGCCTGCAGTGTACAGAAAAGAAACAGTGTTAGAAAGGTAGCTGCTTAAAGAGCTTTCTTTCCTGCATCCCAATATAATCCAAATATTAGCATATGTCCATGTGCCACAGATTATTAAAACCACTTTAAAAAGGAATGAACTCCAGCATGCAAAAGTTTGGATGAAATGTGTTCAAAAAACAGCCAATCAGTTTTGGGTGTCCCAAACATTTACTTACGACACTTTAACATCAAACAAATTTTTTCATAATTTTTCTTGAGATGCCTGCTGGCAAGTCCATTAAATCAAAGGCAGAGCTGGGAACGAAATCCTGACAAAATCAGCACCATCCCTTCATTTCAGCAGGGAAAGCATTGTTACAGCTTTTTGATGTCCTCAGATTAACTTATTTTAATCTTTATCAAAATCACTATGGTTCAATGCACTACATTTTTGTGAGGGTGATTTTATAAATAATATAAATTAATCAGAGATCTCTGGGCAGAAAAATAGCAATAAATCCAAAATTGTCATGGAACTATACCATAGATCCTGTACCTTAGAATATTTCTGCTTTTTTCTCTAAACATTATCTTATTCTTCTTTTGTCAAACACTTTGCTCAATGTTTTTCCACTAAATAATGCTATTGATTTCTCTTGGAAGAGTCAAACCCACAGAATATTCATGCCTCCAAAAAATAACTGGAAAGGCTCTCCCTTATGACTAGTACAGACGTGCCAACATGGGTATCTGTTAGAATGGTACTTAGCTGCTCTCTCTCTCACACTCAAGTTATAGGAGTCTCTGGATACCTTCCTCACTGTGCTGAAGAAGTAATACCAGCAATAAGCATTACAAAGAGAATGAAATCCTTTCTGTTAATAAGATGTTATGGTTGTGAAGCTGAGTTACTGAAAACCTTCATTCTGGCATTTTCTAATTTCTGTTCTTGACTTAATTGTTCCAAAATGCTTTGAACATGTTTCTTTATCCCAAGGGAAATACCCATGGCCTCTTCTTGTTTCTGTCCTCATCCAGTTTCCCTTGGACTCACCTCACCTTTTGTTCTTTTCCCTCACCTCTCAAGTGTCTTTCCTCCCAGTCCCTCACCATCCCTGTCTGAGTTACCCTTCCAGTTCAGGTTTTCCTAGCCATCTCTCCACCCAAATGTCTCTGTTGCAAACTGATGGTCCAGCTTTTCACATCCTGGACTGGCTGCTCATCAGCTCTGTCTCTCTGGGTTGTTGGATACAGTTGAGAAGAGCAGGGAAAAACGTGGTGATGTCTGCAAGCTCTGTGAGAGATGCATGTTTTTCTCTCACTTTTGCTGCTAGATCTTGGCAATGGCCCTGACATTGTGATGGGCAAAAGTCATGCTCAGATCCTTCCTCCTCAATATGGAGTCTATGAACTAAAAGTTTCTGAGACCCACAGTTTTGCTTAATTTATGTACATCTTCCACAGGGTGACACGAAATTAGCAACTGATACCTCTACCAAAATGTGAAGTCCCTCCTTCCAAATAATAGAGAAGAAAGCAGAGGTATGGATCAGGGTTGAACAGTTTTACTCTGACCTCATTTTGAGAAACAGAAGGAGAAAAATGTGTAGGGTGGTTTTTTTTTTTGAATTATAAAAAAAATCAGCCCAAGGCAAAGTCCTGACATGGAAAATTTCTGCTTGAACTTTTAAAGTCTGCCAAAGTCATACAAACTGAAAGAAGGTCTTATAATTCTGTACACTTTATCTCTAAGAATACAGGGCTGACTTAACTTCAGGTATTGTTGTTACACATGTCTGTGACATCAAAGCCAATAGGAATTGTAGTAGTTGCAACTGAATGTCTTATTTTATAAAGAAAATTAATTCTGTTTTGCTAAAAGTGATTTGTTCAAGACTCAGATAGGTGAGGAAACATATTTCCAACCAGTATTTTTGTGGCAAAATATGAAGGAAAAGTTCTTTATTAGAAGTAGCAGCCTCTAGCCATTGGTTTCAGCAGCCCTGAGTACAAGGTAGATCCTTCTATGATTTAGTACAAGACTAAGGATCAGAAGCTCCTGCTCATTGAGTAGTACATGTGAAGGTCTTCTTAAACAAGAAGCCAGTCAATGGTTGTTGGAAGGGCTAAGTTTCAATGTGGGCTTTAAACTCAATAGTGTCAAGACATGCTCACTTTATTTAATTTTAAATTACATTTTCAGAGCCTTCACCCAGATTCAACATGGTAGTTTAGGCTATGGTTTGTTTTAAGCTTATCCTGTGTAAGGTCTTAGAAATCTGTTTCATCAAATCAATGTAATTCCTGTGCACCAGCAAGCCCAAGAACCACATGTTCTACAAACAGTGCAAAAAGTTGCCTGCACTGCTTATTATCAGCTAACTGCTGTTGGTTGTCAGCCCCTGTGAAGGTGGGTCATTTCCCTGCTAGGAGAAAGTGGGCTCTGGAACCTAGTTGAGACAGGGAGGATTCTCAGGAAATTGTGTACATATGGCTTTAAAAAAACAAACCAAAACAAACACTCCCTCCACCAACAACTAACCCAAATCCCAAAAAGTCAGACAATTTCTGGCAACAGCTTCACAGTTAAAAGCTCCACAGTTAAATGTTTCTAGTAAAAATCTACTATTTTCCCTGCATTTAAACAATTAATAATTTCCAAGATCAGAAGGCTAATCGATTATTTTTTAAAATTATATTCACAGTGCAAGGCCAATAAGAGAATATATGATGTTTTCTGAGGTCATTAACACATCCCAGGTAACTGATGGCCTCAAACTTTTATGATGCATTTCATAAGTCTACAAAACTTCCTGTCCTATCTTGTTTTATTGCTTATTTAAGATGATTTATGTAAACTGGGCTTACTAACTTGACATTCATCCTTCTTATATTATATTCTGGTACTATAAAAGATATCTCTTCTCTTGGCACGAGGCCTTAAGGTACTGGGTTTAGTGACTATTTGTCAGGTCAGGTTTTCATCATCTGTGGTGAGAAATCCTTTGTGCCTGCTGACTCTACTTCACTGAACTCATATTTAGGGGAAGCAATCTAAAAAAAATTCGTGTACATTTAAAAATAAAATTAAAATGTCAAGAAAGTATTGCTGAGCAACAGAGACCAATTTCAAATTGAGAGAAAGAGCACCTTGAAAAGCATGTCTCAGGAAATGGGTTAGTATCTGCTTCATGTTTCTTAAAGGGATTAAGGATTTTAGAGCCTCTATCTGCGATGGAAAATGGGACTAAAACTGCATACATGTTTAGCATTTAAGATTAAAGGCAAAGGGAAAAACAATCTGAACTGTGAGATGTTACCGTCTGTCTAGATGCTATGGTGACTGTCAGAGTATGAATACGACACACAAAATCAAGCTATAAAAGCACATTTGATGGGAGTCCTGGCAAGAAAAGAGAATTCCAAATCAAAATATTCCAGTGGTGACTCCCACAAAGTTCAAGAGCCAGAGTTTATCTAGCTCAATCACCCTTTTCCAAGGATTAGGATGGCATCAGCTTCTCTTCACAGCTTTGTACTTTGTACTGTAATTCAAGTAAATGAATTGCAGGGGTTAAAAAAGAAGGTTTTTTCCTCAATAAGACAGAATGAATAAGATGTGCAGGAGCAGACTGCCATTTTCATGTTCTCTAGGAAATCAGTCGATGGCTATGCTATCATTTGGCTGATGCTATTGTGATTTTAGAACAGCAGCAGTCCAGTCTCCTTGCTGAGAAGAAACACAAATCAGCAGGTCATCTGCTGATTTCATTAAAAGTTATTAGATTGCAACATGCCCCTGAGATTTTTTCCAGCACTGATGCTTTCCTCAACTCTTTTCAGCAGTGCCTGTCATTTTGACATGCCCCCTTCTGAGATACTTTGAGCAGTTGGTAGCACTGAACCATATTCGCTCAAGTGCACATTGATCTCTCACTTTGTTCTTGCCCTGCCTTATTGATTAAAAAGAAGTCCCAGTTTTCTTCACTGAAGAGGTGATAGAAACAATTCTGTGAACCTCGGAGCCCAACAAAACCTGGTTGTCTATGAATATATGCTTTAAAATTAACAGATACTGGTGTCCCAGGAGGTAGGAGTTAAATATTAGCATTTACAATGGTCAGGACATTTATGAAGGGTTCTGTGCATTTTCTGGTCTCCAGTAATACAAGATGCTTTTCCACAATTTGGGCCCTTACAGAAGGTATTTTTCTTTAATTCCTCTTCCTACAACCTACTTACATGAAACTGAATCGTCACTGAGATTTCTGTAGCCTGACAAATCTGTTTGTGGGTTCAGTTGCACACCAGAGCAGGGCCAGGGTAGGGGCCAGGGAGTGGGAGGGTGGGAGAGTTGGAGTGAGAGGTATGGGGTATAGACAGTTACGCTCACATCTGGGACATGACCATAGCTTATTTTCCGTAGAGAACCAAGACAGACAATGGGTCAAATTTCCCAGTCTAATGTGATTAATAATCTATTTTTGGCTGGAGAGGTGGCCAGCTTTCCTTCTCAAAATACATCCTCTGAAATGTCATTTAGCTTCAGTGACTAGCTTAAAGTATCTCTTGGAACAATTTAACCAAAGTTTGAGGGCTTCATCTATGTGTTAAGCGTTGCACCAACATCTAGTCACAATCCAGTCATGGTAAAAGGACAAAGATGTGCTAAGTTGCATATTTGATCTTCATCTAGATGATGAGATTGTTTCTCTGACTAGGAATGATGCCCTGCTGTATACTGGCATCCAAGATTTGCAGAGGTGACATAGGACAGAGGTACCAGTAGTCTTTTACAGTGATACAGAGCAAACGTTAATGTCAGGGTGATGCTTCTCAGTGCATCATATCTATTTTCCTGGGGTAACGGTTGCTGCAAAGCCCAGAGCAGGTGTAGTGGTTGACCTTGATAGGTACAAAATAACAGAAAGATGCCATAGTGTACAATTCATTCAAAGCATATACACAAGGGAGACCAATTCTAGCTCTTTCCAGCCAACCTTTCTCAGGATTTTGTTGAAATTCCTCTTGCTGGCAGGTAGAGTGAGAATGATCTTTATACCAAAGAAGAGTCCAGTAGTCAGTTACTGAATGGCTTGAAATTCCAGATAAAGTATTACTAATTGCATGGTAGAATGATCAGAAAGAGTATCAAGTCAATATGACAAGGGTGCACTGAAGTCTTGTGATAGTTACCACTAAATTGCAGCAAATGCTGCTGAGTTCATTAGTAGTCTTAACAGCTTTATTAATGCTTGTGCTAACTGAAGGGGAGGAATAGACTATAACATTTCCTCTTGGTAGAAATTTTGCTGTCTCTATTGTCACTGCTGTCACACTAAGCCAAAAGACATAGTACTTTTGACTCACCCTAAACTGCACTGGAATATGTGTCAAAGTATGTACATTTAATATCTCTGCATGCTGCCACCTTACTGTCCACCACAGAGCATTCTCCTTGTTCCCTGTTGAAGGGGAATGTGTTTGGAGGGACACGTCCCTACCTGTCAGGTCAGCATTTGGCCACCAGCCAAGCTCACAGGCTTTACATGTGAATTCATCCTGAACAAATTCATTCTCCTTGCAAGCAGTGCAAATCCAGCAGCAGCTCACTTCCCCTTTCCTGATCACCTGCAATGCAAAATACATCCTCAGGTATGATCCTCCATAAGACAACAAAGAAACAGCAAACAAATAACATCTGCACTATTTAAAATATGACAGGATTCCTGTGTATGGCACATTTCAAACAACTAGAAAACATGAATCATTACTCTGTATCTATCCCTGCATATTAAAATTTGTGCTTAGGAGTTCAAGGATAACCTCTGGGGACAATTCTATTTTGTTTTGTGGAGAGCAGTTCCGAGTTAAAAGCACAAAATAATTTCGTCTTTGGTACAGAGGCATGGTAAGTGCCATATTTTCAGTCAAACTTGAGGCTTAATCTGCAAGATGGTTCAGTTCAGGACAAGTAGCTCGGTCCACACTTAATATCTATTGCATAGTGAAAAGCAGTAAACAAAATCAAAGGTTAGGACAAAGAGTGATTCATGATAGACACACAAGCACATTCACATACACATATATTCCAATTTACCTGGAAGTGTCTTTGGAGCTCATTACACAAGTGTAAATAGAAAGTCAAATAAGATCAAATTAAGAAACATACTGCTAAAAGGATGTACTGGACCCTAGTAGAAAATAAAACCATTATGTGATAACCAAGAACATGCTTTGCAACAGTGCTTTTGGACACAAATGTCCCTGAAAACTGTTTCTTTCTTCACTGTGAGGGCTGCTAACTGTAATGATCCAGTGTTGAAAAGATGGTTTCCTTGTCTTGACTCCTAGTTTCATTACCCTGAGGCTGAAAGAAAAATTAAGGATATCTCTGGCTCATAGGGCTATAACAAAGACTTTGGCCCTGTTTGCCAGGAAGGAGGAATTCAGCCTTCTCTTTGTGATTTTCCCATCCATCTATATGCAGAGATAAGTGCAGTAGTGAAATGCAAAATGTTTGCTTTATTGAATACTGGCTTTGTGGGCCTTTTTTGTTAACATTTCCTCCTGCAGTCTGTGGAGAGAATCCAATAGATTTCAATGAGAGCCGAAGCTGGCATTTTGTATGCGTGGTGTTTACATACACACACACACACAAACTGCACAATCTCAAAAACAGGCAAAAGATGTTTTGGAGGGTAGTAAATACCAATAATGTTTCTCCTCCAAGACTGTTGGAGTATGTCACTTTGCCGTTGCCAAATCATCAATCACTTATTGCTTAAAGTAGCAATATAGAATTAAAAAGATGCACATGTGCTTATTAAATGAAAATAAAAAGGAAAGTGATTGTCCTGAATGGACTTCTGGTCATTTTAAACTTACTGCATCCATACCATTTTGATAGTGGTGGAACATGCCTTTATGTCATCCAGACATGACAGGTGGCAAATTATTTGTAGCCTGATGCAAGTGCTACTGTTTGGTAAACACAGAGTGATTTCATTTGTGTTTCCATACCTCCTGCTGTGAACCTGAGATACAAATAAGCTTGCTTTTTTCTTCTTTTCTCTTTTTTGTTTCTTTCTTTTTAAACTTTTCCTTGCAGTTGTTATTGCTGGAACAAAATACTGGATTCCCATGGGTCACAATATTTTCAGGATCAGACCCTTAGTGAATCACAGCCACTGAATGTTGTAGGCAATGACTAAGTGAAACTATTGTTCTTTCTCACATAAAGTTAAATTCAAATCCTGCCATACCATTCTGCAGCTTACAAAGGGTAATTTTAGAAAACATGGGCCAGTATATGGCATCATAAAAGAAAGATGTTAATCTGGGAGTCTTCTATAATTTTGGCTTTCCTGAGGAAAAGGAAGCCCTATCCTTTGGTTTGAAAGCATATTGCTTGTGTTTAGGGAAAAACACTGACTGGTTATTCATATTTGTATAGCAGAAAGTAAGTGTCTGAGGCACACCTTAATCTGGCCCTTCAAGCATGGCTCGCTGCACACTGATCGGACCATTCCGCTCTTATTCATCTGAATCCTGTAGTCGTCAATGTTGAGCACACCCTCATGCCAGGTCCCAATGAGGACATAGTCATAGTGGTTGGGCTCTATGTATTGCAGGTTCATGATGTCATACCTGCAAGGGAGAAAAAAGAAAGTGAGTCACTGTCCTGCAACAAAAAGGACAAAAATTTACCTCATCCTTCTCCTTCTGCTGCAAAATATTCTTGTCACCCCTTAACAGCGGGGACTTGAGTTTCAAAGAAACATCAAATCCTGTAGGACTTGCAGCAGAATCATGGGAAATGACAGCTCTGCCACACAATTGCTGTTTGCCTGCTCTGCTTGAATAAAACTATGGGTAAAAAGTTGTGTCTCCAGTGAAAAGAACTGCACATCAAAGACAACTAGCTCTGCTGAAGATGCACATGTAAGCAAAGTCTGGATGATGTGTTTTCAGACCATTTTTCAATATGTCTTTAACATTCACTTGGCATCTACATACATGTTGGTTGTAATATAGCCATTGCTGGGAGCTCTCAAGTAGTCAGTAGAAATGCTCAAAGTAACTGAGCTGGTTTGCCATAAATTAGCTGTAAACACTAGTTCAACTATTTATGTTGTCCAGCCCAGTGAGACTGTCATGAAAAGTCAGTAGCTTAGTCACAAAATTTACCTCTTCACCCTAGGCAAGTAGGAGAGCACTTTCTAAGGATAAAGCAAGGGAAGCATAAAAAACTGTTTCAATAAACATCCAGCCTCCAGCATTGCTTTCAGTGTGTTTGACCTGATGTGTACACATCCTTTAATGCTAATTATCCCATTCCTTATTTTGCACACAGAATGTGGCTCATTTCTTTGTAGGAAGCAAGAAAAAATAGAAGAATGAATACTGGAGTGTGCACAGAGCAGAAGAACCACAAAAGAGGCTGAACCTACAACCTGGTCACTTAAGATATGAGGGGGGAGGGCTTTGTTTGAAAAAGAGGACTGAGAACCACAAATCAGCATTGGAGGTGAAAATAACAAAGCATCTGCTGCTTTC